TGTTTTGCACAGAGGTGCCACGAGCATCTGTGCTCATCCCAGGCTGAAGGCATCACCTGGGCTGAGGTTACAGCAGAGCTTTCCAGCCCTGTGAGTCACTCCTGCACCCATCAGCTTGGATCACAGCCCTGGGGGCAAGATCTTGCTAAATGCCTGACAGGGCCCACTCTGTGTGCTGGATTATGGAAATAGAAGAGATAAAAAAAGAGGCAATCCGTGAGTCAGTGTGCTCAGTACAGGCTTGCCTTTTCCAGGCAGAAGGAGCCTTCACACAGGCACCACTTTGCACAGTGGGTCTGCTGGGGTTTGTGCAGGAACTGCTGGCAATATTCTATTTAATTCTATTCTATTTAAAAGCCTAAGCAATGCTTCAAAAGGAAAACCATTCACATTTGAAGCAGAAATCCATTTCACTGACTTAGACATGAGCAGTTTTGGATTGGTTTTATTTTTCTTCTGGTGTAAAGCAAGAAAAATTTTTCCTCCAGAACAGTTTGTCAGCAACACAACAGAATAACCTCCTACTTCATCCCACCCACTTTAATTGTCAGATTGTAGTGTCCCCATCATTCAGACAGCAAAGGTGCACAGCAAAACTTGGCAGCTTCACTGTTCCTCTTCATGTCTCAGAGAGTTTAGGGAAAACCTCCAAAAGCTATCAATTTCTGATTCCCTGGGGAGTATTTGGTGTTTGAAATCTGGAAGGACAAGAAGGAAAACTCAAAGAGCACTGAGGAAGTGCTGAATAGATTGTTGAAGTAAAGACAATTATTGCAGAACAGTTATCACTGTGAGGATAAGGACTAAATATTTTATCTGGTAATTTGAGGCCAATGCCTGGGTTCTGCTGCAAAATTGGGCATCCAGGAAAGAGTTGATCATCTAATCTTCTTTAACACCAACAAAACCAAAGAACATCCATTTTTTAACAAGATATTTGTCCTGCCAAGATTTCCTTCTGCTGTGTAAAACCAATGGATGATGTCTCCTGGCCAGATTAGAAGCTGGATAATTCTGTCTTGTATTTGCTTAGTTTCAGCCCTGTGCCAGGTGTTCTGGAGTGTTTTCTCTATGTATTAAGCTGCTGCTCAGTGGTAATTCCATATTTTGTTTGCTTTGGGCTACGTTCAGTGTTCCTTAGGTTTTGCTGATTCCTTTTCACTTCCCAAAGCAAGGTGGTACTGAAGTGTCAATGTACAATCCTTGATGGTTTTACTGACCAAGAGATTCAGGATTGAATGTCAGGCCCAATGATTTATATCAGGCTGGAGATGCCACATCAGCACATTTGTAGGCTCAGAGACACTGACTTCTCCAGAGCACAGAATTCCTCAGGAAAACGGACTGGGAAAAGCGAAAACACACACACACACAGTGATTCCAAACCCTGCAAGTAAATCCCCTGAGTGGTTGTAATTGCCCTGCTGAGATGTAGCTTACTAAGGAAGAGCTGGCAAGGGTGTGGCTGCTGCTTAATTGCATGTTTGAACAAGGGATTAGAGAGTGGAGCAGCAGTGTCATGTAAGAGGTGAAAGGAAACCGGGAGAAAGCAGGACTGTTATGTAAACCATCTCTTCTCTCTCTGTGGCAACATTTCCTGTCTGTATTGCAGCTGAAATGAAAATAATCGCTCGGGCCCGCTGAAGTGCAGCCTGGTTGCAGGTGTAGGTGTTGGAATGGGCTTTCTGGCATTCCAGCCTTTCTGGCATTCCAGCCTTTCTGGCATTCCAGGCTCTTGGCATCCCCTCGGCAGCAGGAGTGACTGAGTAACCTGTGGGATCTCAAATGAGTTGTTGCCACCACCCACACACCCCTCAAAAAAAGCCCCACCAAACTAATTACAGCAGTGATTAGAGGATGAGTCCCATGCTGGGTGATGGAAACTGATTATGATCCATCTCTCTAGAGATTGATCTGTTTTCCTCCAGGCAAAATTTAACCTTCACTCCTTAGTCAGACCCGCTGAGCTGCAGTGAAATTGTGAGTGTCAGGCATGTGGCATTTGGTGAAAGGTGAAACCAGATTGATCGGATTTGCTTTTTAAATATAAGGATCTTGCTTTTCTGTCCTCAGATTCTAAAGCGAATTTCAGATTCTTGAGTTAGCAATGATGTAATTCTTCCAATCAATCTGCTTCGTAGCAGTCCCTCTAGTTGATCTCCTTTTAGATGAAGTAGCTTTATTTTTTCTTAGCCATAAATGTTTTCAATCCTTATATTTAGAAGTAAGGCTTTAAGAAGAAATGAAGGTGCTCCATCTTTAGGGAAGCAGTTGGTTTTCATGCATACATATATATAAAATTAAAACTGGTAGACTTCTTAGACAGTGGGAAGAGAATTCAGCACTCAGTGAGTAGCACTTGTTCCAAAAGCTGAGCACACCAGAGGAACTCCTGGGAAATGCAGAGAGCTCTGAGTGAGCAGTTAGTGTTGAAAAAAGTCGGTCTGTAGAGATCCATCCTCACAGGTTTCCAGTTATTGTCACCTTACACAAAAAGCTGAGCAGGGCATCAGCTCCATTCTCCACGCTGAGCTACAGTCTTAACTCACCATACAGATTCTAATGCAGCTATTGCAAGTGAAAGTAAATTATCTGAGCGTGATGGACCTGTCAGCCCTCGGATACAGCAGAAACAAAGCAGATGAGGCTGATTTGGGTGCTTTGGCAGCTTTTGTTGCAGCAGTGTGAACTGAGCTGTGGTGTCACCTGGCCCTTCTGTCCCTCACCCCTTCTCCTGCAGATGTGGGTCAGGTTTGATCACCTGAGATCTCGCTCAGAACCCAGCAAGTTCTTGCTGAGCAGTTAAATCCTGCGGTTGTTTTCTTCTCTCCCTAAAGTGACATCAACAAACAGATTTCCCTCTCTGCTCTGCTGTGTGGCCTCTTGGTGTGATCTCTAATTAGAGATGGCAGCTCCCAATATTGCTTTAATTATCATGGAATCCCAGAAGGGTTTGGGCTGGAAGGAACCTTTAGGATCATTTTCTTCCAACCCCTGCCATGGGCAGGGACACCTTCCACTGTCCCAGGTTGCTCCAAGCCCCATCCAGCCTGGCCTTGGGCACTTCCAGGGATCCAGGGGCAGCCGCAGCTGCTCTGTGCCAGGGCCTGCCCACCCTCACAGGGAGGAATTTGTCCCCAGTATCCCATCTGAATCTACTCTCCTTCAGTTTAAAGCCACCCCCCACTATCACCAAGTGTCCTTGCCTAAAGTCCCTCTCCAGCTTTCCCGAGGAAGAATGGCATCACTTTCAGGGCTTTTGAAGAAATGCCAGGTCTTACACGTGTTTGGAATTACCAAAGGCATTCAGAAGACACTTTCAATTGCAGTTCTCTTATGTCAGTGGTAAAATAATCTGTCTCCATAAACCTAGGAGTCCTGAATGAGCAGCAGCTCATTCTTCTCCAGTCCCATTTTGTTGGGTCTGGAAAACAGTTCTACAGCAATTTGTTACCGTGGCTTTAAGGCCATCGAGGAGCACAGGTGGAAACCTGCTCCAGTTCCATGCTTTCCTCTGCCTCAGAACACTTTGTGTCACTGATGTCCCTCCATCCCTCCTGTGATGGTGACAGGGTTCTGCTGCTGTGTCAGGGCACCTGAGACCTCTGTGGCTGCACTCAAAGCACCCTGAGCCTTCCTTGCCTCTCCCTATTCCAGAATAAGTTGATATTTGGAGGATCAGGGCAGCCAGGAGCCTGCCTCCTCCTCAAGATAAGTGATTATTCATTAAAATATTGCAAATATGAGAGAGCCATACTTTCTCACTGGGGCATTGCTGCCCCACACCATAAAAACTTACTGGAGGGGAGTGCAAACTGGCAGAGCAGAGATGGTCAGGAGTGGTGTCTGTGCCCTCCAGGTCACACAGACTGGCACTGTCCCACCAGGAAGCACCTCTTGCCTGGCCTGGGTTAATTCCACTGGCACTGTTTTACCCCAGCACGTTTTCTCTGGAGATTTGCTGCCCTGCCGTGCTGCTTACGTGCAGGAAGCAAAGGTCAGCTCTGCTTTTTGCATTAAAGCAAGAACCGTGCAGGAGGGGAGCCCAGGGTGGCTGTGCCCTCTAGGATTTGGAAGGGACCATGCTGAAAAACCTTGATGGTATTTGTTTTGAAACAGTTTCTGCAATGGAGAACAGCTGCTCTTCCAAGGGAAACAAGGAGAGGATCTGGAGCTTTTGGAGAGTGCAGTGGAACGCCCAGCACAGGCCTGGGGCTCCGCCGGGTATTTCTGGAGGTCGATGTCCCCGACACGCAGAAATCTTGAGCACAGGGTTATTCTGGGTCCTTGCTAAAACACAGCCTCAGTGATCTTTTTATTATTTATTTTTGGATTTTAGTCTGTCATGCATGAAAAGACTTGCTCTGATGGAAGGTCCTGTTACCAGAATGCTGGCTTGAGAAAATTATCAAATTTGGATTATAAGGCACTTGAACTTTTTAAATTTATATAAGTATATTGACATTTGAAATCCCATCACTCTGATATAGTTCTGAAGTAATGAGCTGTAAAATACCATTTTAACACAAAAATACACATTTTGAGATTCTATTCCTGTGCAAACAAGTGTTCCAGAATAATTCAGAATGGGTTATTTTTACAAAGAAAGTAACAGTGGGCAATTTTAAAATATGCATTAAAGTTCTTACTTATAAATTGATCTGGCAACAATGAAGGATTAGTGTTTCTACCAGGACCTCACTAAGATGGTTAATTATATATGATTAATACCTTTATAGATAATTAGTAACACTGGAAGCAAGTTTTGAAAGTTCTGTTTCGGTCTCTTGGTATTTGGACAAAAAAATTTCAATTGAAAATAAACCTACAATAAACTGGCAGGGAAATTTCCTTGTAAAAGAGAGCAATACGTGTGAAAACTGTGTGGAAAACGCTTTCTTTTTGCTGAAAGCTTGTTCAACAGCCCGGAGCTGTAGAGCTGAATGACACTAAAACAAACACAGAGCTCTGCCAGTAAATAACTTACAAAACACCAAAGGTTTCCAAAAGAGTTTAATAAATAATGAGGTTCTTTCTGTACTGTATAAACTATAAATATACCATGCAGTCCTTTATAACTTAAAATAATTTACAGGCTGAGGTAGGGGGGTCGGAGGGCGCGGGCTCAGGGCCTGGCCGCCTTCCTGCTGAGCACGCAGACGCAGGCGGTGTCGATGCGGATGAACCTCCAGGCCGCCTGCTTGCCCTCCATGGTCAGGGCCTTGACGAACGTGTGGGTGGTGGTGCAGTACGAGTTCCAGTGCTTGGCGTCGATGCCGCGGCACCCGCCCGACACCGGCTTGGGGTCCCTGCACTTGGTCTCGAAAAAGTACTGCTTGAAGACGTTGTTGTTGATGTTGACCTCGCCCAGCACCGTCACCTCCTTGCCCTTGATGTCGGTGGCCGTGGTTTTGTCCCCGACCCACATGCTGACGCTGTCGCACACCGAGAACTCCCCGCGGTGCAGCACGGGGTGTGTGCTCCTCCTGCTCCGGGCAGTCCTGTTGAGAGCCCCCGCCCCGCTGAGAAATCCCAAATTCCGGCCCTGCCCCGCCACCGGCGGGGGCTCCGTGCTGAACAGCACCCGGGGAGACCGGAAACGCCGCTTGCGGAAGATTTTGGGGTCCACGGTGATGTTTAGAGCTTCTCTCCTGCCGAGGCTCCACGTGGCGTGGCCGTGGGGTGTCTGCGGAGCCTCCTGGGCAATGGGGTGTCCGTCGCTCCGGGTGCTGAGCAGGGAGTGTTCTGCAGGAAACTCCAGTGGAGCATTGTCCTCTGACTTGGGAGCTGCCTGTGTGCCGATCAAAAAAGCTACAGTCAGAGTGTAGAACAGCATGGGCATTACGTTATGACCTAGAACGAGACAGAAAGGCACTGTTACTGCAGAGTGTAGAACAGCGTGGGCGTTATGTTATCACCTAGAATGGGAGAGAAGGGCACCGTTACTGCAGTCAGGGTGTAGAACAGCATGGGCATTACAATCTGACCTAGAATGGGAGGGAAGGGCACCGTTACTGCAGTCAGGGTGTAGAACAGCATGGGCATTACAATCTGACCTAAAATGGGAGAGAAAAGGGCACTGTTACTGCAGAGTGTAGAACAGCGTGGGCATTATATTATGACCTAGAATAAGCGAGAAGGGCACTGTTACTGTGAGGCAGGAGGGCACAAACCACTGCTGTTCTGGCCATGAATTTATCAGATACCCAGGATCATATGGATTTCATCAGGTATTCACGTGAGTGCCAGATGTTGTTCTTCCGGAAGAGCTCATTCAGACAGCATCAGTGTTCTTAATAAAGCGAGAACATTAGAAAATAATAGCTAGATTATTATTAATTCCTCTGGTATTTGTCGTTAGAGCACTGTTTATGAAGCACTTGTTTGGTGTTATTAATGTGGACACCATATGGTGACAGCATGTTCCCAGGAGTCAGATCTCTAGTGAGTTTTGCCGCAACCCTTTTGGCCAGGGCTGGTCTCTTGGCTGCACAGGAGTGAAAGTAGCAGCAGTCCTTTGGCTAGAACAGCTGTCCATTCCCTAAAATTGTCTGCAGAGGTGTCCTTGGGGCCACAGTGGGGGCCAGCACACCAGTACCTCTACGTTATGACCTAGAACGAGACAGAAAGGCACTGTTACTGCAGAGTGTAGAACAGCATGGGCGTTATGTTATCACCTAGAACGGGAGGGAAGGGCACTGTTACTGCAGTCAGGGTGTAGAACAGCATGGGCATTACAATCTGACCTAGAATGGGAGAGAAGGGCACCGTTACTGCAGTCAGGGTGTAGAACAGCATGGGCATTACAATCTGACCTAGAACAAGAAGAGAAAGGCACTGTTACTGCAGTCAGGGTGTACAACAGCATGGGCATGACATTCTGACCTAAAATGGGAGAGAAGGGCACTGTTACTGCAGAGTGTAGAACAGCGTGGGCATTATATTATGACCTAGAATAAGCGAGAAGGGCACTGTTACTGTGAGGCAGGAGGGCACAAACCACTGCTGTTCTGGCCATGAATTTATCAGATACCCAGGATCATATGGATTTCATCAGGTATTCACGTGAGTGCCAGATGTTGTTCTTCCGGAAGAGCTCATTCAGACAGCATCAGTGTTCTTAATAAAGCGAGAACATTAGAAAATAATAGCTAGATTATTATTAATTCCTCTGGTATTTGTCGTTAGAGCACTGTTTATGAAGCACTTGTTTGGTGTTATTAATGTGGACACCATATGGTGACAGCATGTTCCCAGGAGTCAGATCTCTAGTGAGTTTTGCCGCAACCCTTTTGGCCAGGGCTGGTCTCTTGGCTGCACAGGAGTGAAAGTAGCAGCAGTCCTTTGGCTAGAACAGCTGTCCATTCCCTAAAATTGTCTGCAGAGGTGTCCTTGGGGCCACAGTGGGGGCCAGCACACCAGTACCTCGTGCCATTATCACACCCTCAGCAGCCACACTCACCTGCCACGTGGCCAGGCCCCACTGCAGGCTGGCTCAGCAGCCTCCAGCAGCTGCCAGCTCTCCAGCTGCCCTTTCAGGACACACCTCATCAGAGTTAGGGCAGATAGAGCCCAGGCTCCTTCCTCAAAGAGCTCAGGTATCTGTGCCACAAGGGCAGACGGGATTTTTCCACATTCAAGGGCAAATATCGGAGCACTGTGGATACCAAACTGCATCTGCTTAGATACAGCACAGCTACAGACATTGTGGCTGAAGTACTGGGAATTCTGGTCAGGGAAACACCTGGATTTTTTTTTCAGAATGCCATGAGGAGCAAGAGCTCCCCAAAAGTCCCTGCAGAGCAGATACAGTGCCAGTGCTGGTCCTCCTTCAATCCAGAGGACAGGCACATCTGTTTGGGCATGGAAAAGTGCAAGCCAAGTGTCTAAACCTTTGCTAAGACCCATTTCATGCTGGAAGAGCAGCACCAGCAATACCTCATTGGGCAACTACCATGTGCTGACTAATTCAGCCACATGTTGGGAATGAGAGACATTCAAAAATGCTCTGGAATTGCAGTGAGGGGCAGACATTGTATTTCCTCTGTAAAGACTTAATAAGCAGAGACAGGGTATAAACAGAAAAGCCCAAGTGAGGCTCCTCCCCGTCTCTTTGCCTTGTTTTCCTGACAAGTCTCAGCTGGCCCCGAGCTCTGCCGTGGCTGGCCAGCAGGCAGGGAGCCCCAAAGCCACTGGACAAACAGGGTTTTGTACCAGAGGAATCAGGCTCTGCAGTTCCACTGTGATTTCCCAGAATTTCTCTGTGTTTTTGCTGGGTGTGGGTCAATTATGGTTGCAGTTCCCCCCTCTCTGTGGAGCTTTCTCAGATTAGAATCCTGAGCAGCACTAAAGGACTTGACCAGGGTGCTCTGCCAGAGCATAATCCTGTGGAAAATGCAGAACAACCCTAAGATGTCCCACAGGATCTGGTGTGTCTTATCTCAGACAGGAGCTGGAATGACATAAACAGCAAGGTTTGTGCAGGGCTGAGCAAACACTCAGGGAGCCAGCAGGAGACACCAAGTGAAGGCAGTGACTGAGGAGGAGAAGCAGAGCCTGTGTGGAGGGGAGAAAAGAAGAGAAAGGCCAAAAGCTGTGTGAGCACTTGTCTGTGCTGTTGGGCTTGTTGGGCTGGAGGCTTTGGGGACAAAATGATGACGAGGAGAGTCAAATGTTTGTCACAGAGCAAATCCTCACTGTTCCAAAGGCACTTTAATTTGTTTAAAGCAAGGCTGAGGGTTGCTGCTTTCCCACGTGCTGCTCGTGCTGGAGCACTCGTCATCCTCTGTATAAGGAAACAGAGCTGGGTGTAGCTCAGAGCTTGGCTGTGCTCCCTCCAGAGAGTAACCCCTTGTTCCACAACCAAACTAAAGTCAGATGGTTCATTACATCTCTCAAGAGGCAGCTTTCCTGACAGAAATGTTAATGGAAAAGGTTTGCAGAATAAAATCCAGGCACAATTTAGCCATGCCAATAGCAGCCTCAGTGTATTGTGTTTATGCATAAACCCCTTTTTTATTATTTCCTTCTATAGGAAAGAGATGCTGCAATGTCAGCAAAGAGCTGGTTCTGGTTTTGTGCTATACAAGATTTGCTGCTCTAAAATGCAGCCACATTTATCTCCCTTCTCTGGGCTTCTTGTGCTGCCCGTGCTGAGATTTTTGATTTAAGTCCATTAACACAAAAGCAGAAAGACCTTGGTTGCTTGCCTTTTTTCTTTAATTGCCTTGGATTTTCTCTCCTTGTGCTAAATCATTATGTGGAGTGTGGCCCAAAAACAGACAGAATGTATTTGGGATATGTGGTAACTTTTCTGAAAATTCAAAATGTATTATTTTTATCATTGAGTTAGTGGAGAATAGCAAGTGACACATTAAAAAAGTGAACTCAACTTGATGACAACACAGGCAAGAGAAGTTAACATTAAAGAATAGGTGTGCCTTGGGCTGTGAGGGTTGTGAACTCTTTTACTGGCACACAGAGGTGTTTTACAGGATATTTTGGGGAGTTTGGGGTGTCCAGCAGGGGGTTGGAACAGATTGAGCTTTAAGGTCCCTTCCAACCCAAACCATTTTGGGGTTCTATGATTCTCTCTCCAAACTTTGTCCCATAATTAGTTATTAGAGCCTCTGATGGTGCTTTCTGGAGATGCTCCCAGTGGATGCCTCGTGCAGCCACCTGGACTTGCAGGGGATGTGCAGCTGCAGTTCCAGTGCTGGGGATCCACAGGTGTGTGATGGGAACCCTGGCCACAAATGTTACCACAGGCATTGTGATGCCAAAATTGCACCTCCTGTGCTGGGCCAGGGCCATTAACCCTTCCTCTGGAGCAGCTGCAGTGTGAGCCTGGCACGGGGGACTCCAGGCTGCTGTGGCAGTGAGTGCTGGCTTACCTGTGAGTGCACTGCACGAAGAACTGCTCCCCCAGCAAGGTCCTTATTTCATCCAGAGCTGAGCCGGGCTGGGCTGCACCTTGCCATGGGGCCCTGCTGCTCCTGCCAGCTGCGTGTGCCGTGGGTCACTGGGGCAGAAGGGTTTGTGTCAGTAATCAGCCACAAAATCAGTGTTCTCAGTGCTAAAAAACCGGCGTTCTCTGTGCTAAAAAATCAGTGCTCTCAATGCTAAAAAATCAGTGTTCTCTGTGCTAAAAAATCAGAGTTCTCAGTGCCATTCCCCCCGTGGCAGCAGGAGCACGGGGACAAACCCCCTTGGCTTTCTGAGCTGTGCCTTTTCCCTGTCACAGCATCAAGCTTGTCCAGAGCAGTCCCAGGCTTTGCAGAGCAGCACATTCGTAAGACAGGGCTGCCTTTACTCAGCACCTTTGCTAGGCTCTGGTTATTGATCCACTGCTTCCCACTCCTCTCAGACACCTCGCAGGCTCAGCAGAGCCAGGAGTGGCAGCAATAGCTGATGGCACTGCACAGCAGCCAGGCACAAACCAGGGCTCACGGCCCCAACATCTGCTCTGGGAAGCAAATCTGGTTACAATTAAATTCAGGAGGAGAATTGCCATTTATTGGCAGACAATTATCTGATTGAGGCTGATATTTGAGAAGAATTGAAGATACAAAACTCACAGGCACATAAAAGCAAATACTTAGGTGTTTGTTGTGTTGCTGTAAGGGCAGCAATTACTCCAGCTTTAATCACTACATTGGGGATGATCATATAGACCCCAGCTAAAGGAAAACCATTCTTTTCTTCACCAGTTAAATCCACCACACTGACACCTTCTCAGCAAAACAAATTTTCTGATTGTAAATTCATGCCACTGAAAGGGATAGAAATATTATTTTATTAATCTTATTATTCAATAGCTTATCTGCTCCATTTCACAAGGGAAGTAGGGGTTGGATGAGGTAAATAGGGGTTGGATAAGGTACTCCTGCACTGCAAAAATCCTGCTGCATCAGGCTGAAGTGCATTTGCTAAGGAGAACAAGCTGCTAACCAAAGCATGAACTGGCCTCACTTTCCACCTGCACAGAGTCTGTCAGTGGGAGCACTGGCTGCCAGCAAAGGCAGCCACTGGGTTTGGCTCTCACAACAGCCAGGTACGATGTTTAAACCTCCAGCTGAAACCCTCCCAGCCTGTTTCCATCAGTGCAGGGCACAGGAGTCACCCTGTTACGTGCACAGTGGTTTGGCCACCCCGCCTTGCCCAGGCTGCCCCTGGGTGTTGCAGTGTTTGGGAGCTGAGCTGGTTCCACTCACATCAGTGTGTCAGAAAGGTCACGCAGAGTTCCAGCATCCAGAGCTTCATGCTACAGATGGAGTATGCTGTGTTTTTGCAGGAATGTACTAGTGAAGTAATAACCCTTTCAGTGAACTCTGGAGAGTTGAGTACCAGTAATGATAGAGCTATAATGTGCTGGCCACTGCCAAAAATAATCCAACAACTTTTCCAACTGTTCTGCCACCCTAAGAAAACACTGTTTCAGTTCCAACTGGCTGGCTTTTAACCACAAAAGCATTTATTTTCAGCAGGACTTTTTTTTTAAAGTTCTTTTACTGTCTTTTTCCCGGATTCCTGGCTGTGGTGGAATCCAGTAAATGATGCAGTGTTATTCAGCATCCATAGACTATTCCTCTGTTCTACCACTCCCAGACATTCATAAAATATCCCAATGAAGTGAGTCTTTCTTCAGGATTTACCTGTATACAGGAGGGCAGACCTGGTGGGTAAAAAAACCTCACTTCAAGCTTATTTCTTAGTCTCAGCACATGTAGAGTAGAATTAAAGAGTCCCAGACTGGTTTTGGCACAGGGTGCCCAGAGCAGCTGTGGCTGCCCCTGGATCCCTGGCAGTGCCAAGGCCAGGTTGGACAGGGCTTGGAGCAGCCTGGGACAGTGGAAGGTGTCCCTGCCATGGCAGGGATGAAACTGAGTGAGCTTTAAGGTCCCTTCCAACTAAAACTATTCTGGCATTCCAGGATTCCATAATTCTGGAGAGTGGGGAAATGGAGCTCATCAAAAAGCAAATGGTTCTGTGCCTTGAAAAGCTCTTTGCTTGCAGCACCTCTAAGTGCAAAATGTGCCAAACAAAATATGTTTAGGGAATTCCCTTTTTGTTAAAGTTACCCATAGAATCCAAGGAAAAATGGACAAACGGGGAATGTTGCCTGGAAAGTTATTAGGAATGAAAATTTAATAAATTTACTAAATTAATTGCTTCCAATAAGAACAGCAGTCAGTGCAGCCTTCTCTCTGCACTTGACTGGATGCCATTAAAGCAGCTCCTACACTGAGAAAAGATAAATTAATGCTTATTTGTCTCAGTCAAAGACAGCAAGTAAATTATTTTCTACATAAAAATAAACATAGTCAATAAACATAAGCATAGAATGTTGTAATCTAAGGCATGATACAATTTGGAATGTTGTTTTCTGTCATTCTTGAAGTTGTTGGCATGTTTTAGGGATGTGCAAAAAATAAACAGAAGTGCTTGGCTGTCAGTGCAGCAAGTGGGATCGTGGAGGTCACCAAAATAAGCAACAAGTAGTGAATTAGTTTTGTCTCACTGCTTCTGGTAGTGAGAGAGAAATGAGGGAGGCAGCTGCTGCTGAAGTTGCTGGTAAAGAGAAGGTGCCTCTGGCACATCTCTCATGGAAACATTTTCACCAGTATATAAGTTATATGAACTAAAATTTAGCAGTAGCAACACAGGGAAAAGATTTCTGGGCCCTGGGAGGCCTTGAAGGGAATCCTGAAGCAATTATGACTAAGAGCAGTGTCAGAGGCACAGCTTTGCCTTGATCTTAGCTGATGAGCAAGAAAATGGGAATCTCTAATGGACCCAACAGTTCATTCCTCCATTATATCTGCCGTGACTCAGCCTGTAAATAAGAGGTTTATGAGTGCTGGAGAGCCAGCTGGAAGCTACCTGTGTCTCATACACTTCCTTTTTTTTTTTCTTTTTTTTTTTTCTTTTTTCCAAATGCCTCCAGCACTGAAATGTTCCTTTGAGGATTTCTAGGGAGAGCAGTAGACTGAGAAAAATTCTGCCCTGCGGCAGGGAGCATCATGGTGTCACCGTGATCCTCCTCGTCATCAGGATGTGCACCCAGCATCTGCCTCCAGAGCTCTGACTCAGCCTGGGCCCAGGTAAAGATCATAACAGGGGCGGTTCACAGCCTGCTGAGCCCCTGGCAGTTTGGGGTGCTTAAGGGGGAATTGCTCCATGAGTCTCAACCCATCCCTGGAGGTGCTCAAGGCCAGGCTGGGCTTGGAGAGACCTGGGATAGTGGAATGTTCCTGCCCGTGGCAGGGGGTGCAGTCAGATCATCCTTGAGGTCACTTCCAGCCCAAACCATGCTATGATTCTGTAGGGTGGGGATGCACCAAATCCAAAGCCACTGAGGCTTTGGAAAACACATCTTAATGTTTATTCTGTATTTATGGGGGTATAAGTAATGGAAATGGCTCATTTGCATGGTCCTAATTTTATCCCTTCTTTCATCCTGAACCAGTACATCAGTATTTCACCTGCTGGTGTCTCTGCAGAGAAGTCCAAAGAGAGGAAAAGAAGTGTCCTTCCCATCACCTTCATTAACACCCCTTTCCCTCAGAGCATTTGGTGCTGAGTGAGGCCATCTGCTGGGAGAGATCCAGCCTGGAGCCACAGCTGGAGGTTTGTGACAGGAGGTGACAGGCCTGGTGACATGGGACCGGCACAGCTCACCTTCAAAAGCCTCACTTTAAAACTCCTGAGTGGTAAAACAAAATCAAAACTTCTAAGAATATAATCATTTATTTTGCTTCTCAAATTTGTTTCCCAGTGTTTGGCATTATGATACTTTGGCCTGTAGAACATGCTCATGGGAATTCAGAGGCATCAACAGTCATGTAAAATGTGATTCCTTTGGGAAAAACCCCGTGATCTTAGGTCAGGGTGGCCATAGCAGTAAGGGCTTGTGACAGGATGCAGCCCTTGCTGTGACAGATTGGCTGTTAGTGAGTGTTGAACATGAGCCACCCTGACAGAGCAGAAAGATTCATCCTGCTGCAGATAACAAAACCAAACTGATAGTTATTAAATGAAAGATAAAGAAATCGTCTCTGTCAAAATAAAAATAAAGTGAAGGGAAACACATCACTTACAAAACTAGTGACAAATCTGAAAATAAATGACAGAAAACAGCTTTTGGAGGAGCGTGTGAATCTGATTCTCCTGAAGTCAATGACCTCAATGGCATAAAGCTGGTAAATTAAATGAGCTAGAAATAAAAATCCTGGCTAGGAGTAAGTTATAGGAGCATACCAGGGTTGTATATCATCCCTATATTATCATCCAGAAAGCAAATTCTAAAATCAATGATTGACATGTGATGATTGCTTTGGAACTTTCCATGTCGCCTTGGAGCTGGATATATATCTTTTATAGGACTCCAGGGTTTCATATATCCTAATTCATAGGCACCAAGGAGTGACTAAAGATCTCAGGCACTAACTGACAGGAAAACTACTGCAGGATAAATGGGACAAATCCATCCATATAAAGTTGCATGCCTCCATCCCACCCAGCTGCAGCCAGGATGGGATTGCTGCTCCCTACAACTCCTGGCCAGACACAGCAGGACTCATTCCCTATTGCTGCTTAAAACAGTGACTCCAAAGACCTTCCTGGGGCTGGGGCATGGCTTGCCCTTCTCCCCTCTACACCCTTCCCAAGTGAATTTAAATTTGGGAATAGTTGGCTTGCTATATTTGGCCCCGAGGTTTCCAATACAAAATTACCAGGAATGAAAGAACTGGAATTTCAGACTTCACAACACTACCAAAATCAAACTGGAATTCAGCTGGGAACAGAAAGTATGAGGGCAGTCAGACTGTGATGTTACATCCCCTCTTACAGCCAAGAGTAGTTAAGGCAGAAAAATACAATATCTTTAGGGCCAGTAAACCTTTCCAACTAGTGATCTTATTCCAGCTATTCAGAAGATAATATAAAACCTGATTCTTTTCCAAACCCTCATTAATAAGAACCAGCTGAATCCCAGCAGCAATGCTAGCATTTCATTTT